ATTTTATTTTATTTTATTTTATTTTATTTTATTTTATTTTATTTTATCTTATTTTATTTTATTTTATTTTATTTATTAATTTTTTATATAATCTATCTTTTTTATAATTGATCGATAAAAGAGTGAAGAAAAGAGCATGACACTTTCATGCCTTCCTATAAACTTCTTCTACTAGCGCTACACTTGAGTTCAGGGAAGTCACATCCAAGTGACAGGAATCCCTTCCAGTACTTGATAACACAAAACCTTAAAATCTTTCAGGGGCAAAAGTGTAGGAACAGGTTTACCTTGGAACAGATCTTAGATGAATTATAACTGCTTCAAATGACATCGCAACCACGACGGGAAAAAAATGAAAAACATTTTCGAATTCAGCCCACGCCTTTTTTTTCAGACTTGAGTTAAAGCGTTATGTATAAAAATATAGGAAAGGAGAGATTATACAAATCCTTTTTTATTTTTAATTTTTTTTTTTAAATATGATGATTTGCTTTGATTGTGTTAGTATCAGGTGAGTTTTTAATTGGAGAGGAGTGTGAGTGAAAGTGAAATGAGCGCGCTGAAAATTCTGTTATGAAAAAATTTGAATAAAAGAAATAATTTCTTGTGTGCAACTAAAAGCTATTTTTCTAAAACTGTATAAAAAATATTTTTGAGTGTGCTAAATCAATTCGTAATTAACGTACGTGTATGTGCTGTGTGTGTGTGGATGCATGTCAAATGGATGGGGAGAAAACGTAAAAAACTAATTTTTTTTTCTTTTTTTTTTGTATTTAGAATGGTCAAAAAACAATACAGAACAAAGGGAAACAAAATCCACTTTATTCGCATTTCAAAAAATAAATTAATCAATTAATTAAATATTAAACCAATAATCGTTGTTGTTTTTTTAATTTATAAATAAAATAAATACTTACGGGTCAATGGTCTAGCTGGATGTCTCGACCACAAATAACGATTCTTCACCGGCGACAAGAACGAGTCACGTGCAATGGGGCTGGAGGCCCGTGGCACGGAGAGGGCACGGAAGGGAACCAAATCATCGACATCCCACCAGAAAGGATCGCGTGTGAATGCTGAGATGGGTGCATGGGGGTTGGGGCTCAATAGATCCCTGAAGCGATTGCGTGGATGGAAGATTGGAAGTCCTATTTTTGGTATTTGTTTTGTTGTTGTTGTTGTTTTAGATGATACAATAAATTTTTATCCAATTTCATAGATGTTGTTTTTTACCAGTGCCAAAGTTTTATTGTTTTTATTTTTGTTTGTGTAGACATTTATTTTACATTTTGTTGTTGTTGTTGTTGTGTGAGGGTGTACGTAAGAAGAGTAGAAAGAAAATTTTTGTGTTTTTTTTTAAACTATAACAATACAGAGCGAGGCGACGTAAAATATTTGTATTTTTTTATTTTTCATTTTTTTTTTGTGGAAGAAACACAGGAAAAAAAGAGAAAAGCAATGTTTTAGAAAATTAACTAAATAATGTGTAGTAAATGCACATTTGATATTTTCCATATATTTCACGATATATATATCGCCTTGGGAAAATATCATTTTTAGCCAGCTTAATAATGACGGTTTCTTTTTTTTTTTTTTTTTTTTTTTTTTGTTACTTGCCGCTGCTGGGAACCGGTACAAATTCATTGATTTTTTCTTTTTTCGACGCTGCGTACAACAAAACAAGAGAGTTGATCTCTCAGCGAAGCAATTACAAATACAACTACACACTGTACGTGCTTAAATTGCTACGATGGCTAAAGAAGGGGGATAATAGAATTACAAAAGGTATAAAAAAGCATGCATAAAAGAATCAAAAAGTTGCTAAAAAATAAAAGCAAAAAATAAAGGTACAAAAAGAAAATCATAAAAAATAATAATACATAGTGCGGCAAACAGAAGGAAACTATACTAAATTTCAGTCACAAACTCTTTCACGGCTTCTTTTGTGTACCGATGGTGTTTCAGATTTACCTCTAGAAAATTATCTACTTCAAAAAAAGATTCTACTGCGGTCATCTACAGTTATACTTTCTCTAAAGTCATTTCATTGCAGCCAAATCACATCCTGAAGCAGTGTCGAAATGTAAGCTAAGCAGACAACGTCCAACACTGATTGGACTATATTTTACTCACGGCCGTAACCTTACCACTCTCATTGTTTCATGGAACTATCATTAGATGATATCAACAATAATCCTTAAACATTGCATTTATTCTTCTTTAGTGAAGTAGGTACCGCTTACACGATTATATACGAGTCAACAAAAGCGAAAATAGCAAGTCCAACCAGGTCATTTTCTAACGGAGTGGAGGTCTTCTTCTTCCTCTACTTCCTCTAGTCATCCATTCGAAAGACATGACCAAGCCTAGGATGTCTATTAGCTCTTTAGCTCTCGATGAACAAAATGAAGAAATCACATGTTAAAGCGTTACCTTGTCTGAAACCTAGTTTAGTATCGCACAGCAAGGAGAAGTCCTCCCCGATGCTGACTACGTTTCTGCTATTGTCTAGCGGAAGGGTACCCATCCGTATGAGTCTTGCAGGGATGGCAATTTTTAAAATCGATGGGAATGTGGTTTGTATCGATTCTTTTCTCGAGCGACTTTTTCAGGACTTGGCGCGTGGTGTATATCTGGTCTGATTGGCGATGTGCTTTAGTAAGATAGGCTCTAATATGCGATATTGACGAGATTTATACCACGGTAATTTTCGAAGAGCGTGAGGTTCCTTTTTATTGCACGTTTTAAGCATATTTCCGTCCGATCATATTCTGCAAGAAAAGATAATGTATGAACCTTGTCAATTTTTCGTCCTGGACCATCTTTGAATAGCCCAAATCGGGCAGCCATCGGCTCAGACCGCTTTGTCATTTTTTAAACGGGGCAATCACTATTCGAAATTCCTCATTGTCGGTTGACTGAAGGTCTATAGCATCAGCCCCGTCATCGATTGGGGTTTCAGGTAAACCATTGCATGTGTTTCATTTTCCCCCCATAAACTCTCAACATTGGTTATCAGATTACTTCCTTGGTGCCTATATGATTATGCTCCGGCAATGAAACCTTATTTTCATATAATTTTCTAGCATTATGCCTCGGTCGGTCATATTTCAAGCTCTTCATAATCACGCATTTCAACATTTTTTCTCTCTTCCAAAAAAGCTAACCAAATTTGGAATACATCGGTAAAGCTTGTGAAATTCGCAAAAAATTTTTAAATTAATTTCAGGTGTTCTAGTCATCAAGCATTCAATGGTATTATACCAGTAAAATACTAGTTCATTCAAAAGCCAACAGTTAGATTATATCCTTGGCGACGTTGTACAAAATTCAAAACACCGTGTTGTGATGTTGGCTACTGTTATATAATATTACGGTTTCAACTACCAAACTGTGAGCTGTTTTGATTACATTCATTATACTAGTTCAGAACTAACAATTCACATACTAGTTTAACATATCGCAGCAGAGTAAGGAGTGAAATTGTTTATGAGCAAAGGATGATCATCAAGCGCACTGTATTTGAAAGCGTTTTTAACTGAAATGACGTCTTTAACTATCTTATTGTTGTTGTGGTAAAGCCTAGCCTACAGGCACGCTGACCTTTTGCATGCTGAAACGTGCTGCAATTAATTACTTTATAATTGATTTAATACTTTGGCACAAACCCCTTAACTATGCCGCAAGCATTTACCTACTTCATAACTTTCCGGGTGAAGAATTAGAAAATGTTTTGAAAATAAATAATATTAGCGTGCAAATGAAAACAAAATAGAAAAACAAAAATTGAAAATCATAAAATAAATACGGAGGTAATTAAATTAAATAATATCAAAGAGCATTTTGAGGACCATTAGCGCTGCGTTACACAATTAAGAATTTTTTGCCTTAGGCACAGATGATGCAGCATGATAAGCTAAGAAAGGAATTTTCTATTTCAATATTTTGATGCTATTGGCGTTAAGCGTATCGAAACGAAAAAAAAAAAACAATAATAAAAATAAATTTTGCAAATTTCAATTTGTAATCGTTTTTCCATCTAATATTCTAATGAAAAAATAATTATTATTTCATGACACTTTCATGCGCACTAAATTTGGGCTGCCAATACAATTAAAAACTCAACTCTTTCCAAAATACTTTAAGCAGCTAAAACTTTTTTTTCCAATGAAAAACATTAGAAGAAGCCAAAAAGTGTGACAACAATAACTGCAACATCAAAATCGAATTTTTCATAGAAAGAATTTTGCTTGCAACTCATTTCCACACAACACGCCATTTTGCCACTGCCGCCGCCACCAACGCCACTTCAACTTTCGTCACGCTGCACACGAAGTCACGTCAAGACAGTGCGCTGGAATTGATTGCGGTTTGTGGGTAAGAACATGCAGATGGAGTAAATGTGTGTGCGCATGCGCGTGTGAGTGTGACTAACTATTAGCGACCACAACGACTTTGGCAAGATGGCACTTGTTTTTTTTTTTTTTTTTTTTGGCTGGTGTGTGTTTCATAAGCGCAATCATTTGCTCGTACCATTAGCATCATAGGAGACTTCATTGGGGCGTGGTCCCCAGCGGCCAGCCTTAACGGGAGTGGGACTTGGTGAGCCGGCACGCTCAAAAGGTCTGTCAGCTAACTTACTATCAAAGAGTTCATCCAATGGTTCCAATGAGCTGGCACGGAACAATGGCCTGGGTGCCAGGCTGCGTGCACGATCGAGCAAAGATGGCGCCAAGCTGCGTGCACGTTCAAAAGCCGAGGGTGCACGCGACACGCTTGGTGCACGATCCCAGTATGTTGGTGGTGGTACATAGGGTTCACTGCCGGCACGTAACCAACGTCCTGGACGTGGTGATGGTGAGCGACGAGCTGTAATGAGAAAATGGGATAATCAATAGATAAATATTGTACAAGAAGTTAATTAATTGTGATTAAATAAAATTTCGAAACTGATAATTGAGTGTGAATTCGATCAGCTGAGAGCGCGATATTCCTAAATTACTCACAGATCAACTCATGGTTTAAACCATTAATCGTAAATGCCTGAAAATTGGAGGGTGTGTTCTGCGTATGGTCTGTAAGATTTTCCAGGTACTGAACCAAACACCGATGTATTTCAAAATATCTAATTTAGTTTTGAAGAGTTCGATTTACAATAAATTCTATATAATAGTAGAATTTCGTCTCAATTATTGTGGGGGAGCAGCTAGTAGTGGATTTCGGACCCAGGTTAATATGTGGAGCGCTCTTTTCTTTCCGAGAATGTGCTCGATGCATATCTAAATGTGGGGAGATATTTTCATTTCTCTTTGCGTTGATTTTGCTAAAAGTCGGCTAAGCGTTGGAAACGGGCTGCACAGATAAGTGCACCAAGTATTGCCAGGTCCATGAAATGTTAAACGAATTTTTTACAAGAATTTACCCTGCATCTGCTACATAGCAGAACACAGATGTATAAAATTTTCTTCTTTCCTGGAGCAGATACCGCTCACGCGATTATATCCCAATTAACAAAAGTGTTTACAATCAAACTAATATAAAAATTAAGGTATGGCTTTCTTTATATCCAGGTTCTCCTCCACCCGATTTTCCCACGATTTGGAGGTTTTCCTCTGCCTCCACTTCCGCCAACGGGTACTACTTTGAAAACTTTCATAGCTGGAGTACCATCGACTGCGGTATCCGCAATTGCTGAAAAAAAACCTTTCGCATGTCGACATCGTCCACATTTTCGCACCACATAGTAAGACGGGAATGATGGGAAACGCGTTGTATAATTTGGTTTTGTTTCTTTAAGAAAGGACTTTCAATTGTCCACGCAGTCCATATTAACACCTGTTGGTCGGAATGACTATGTGTAGCATTTCCAGCCTGAGATTGTTGTTGATGGTAATACTGGTTACAAAATAGAAAAAAAATCTACAACTTCGAAATGATGGCTGTCAACTGTGATATTGGAGTCGAGTCGCAAATGCGATAACTGTTTGTTTGATGAAAGGAGATATTTCGCTTTGTCCGCATTTACTACTGGAACCATACTAATCGCTTCCCTCTCAAACGCCAGCAGTTATACGCTCTTATAAAATATTGTACTTCCTCTACTTAGGTCTTACCTTTCTGACATGAAATAAAGCTCCACATAAAAAACCCCATCAGCTGTTTGGAGGCGACTTAGTATAAACTGTAGGTCCTTCCATTTTTTGGATAAGCATCAGGCTTCAAAACCTCTTATTTGTGATTTCACATCCTCATATTTTTCCGACAAATATACCTGATCTGCAACGCAGCTGAAGCAAGCACCCTGTCAGTTCTTCGCAGGGTGACCATTATTGCTACTGAGTTGCACTCCTACTTAGCGTTTCCATTCGACAGTTGGCGTTCGTGAAAAGCTTTTCAAGTTCTAAGCCTCAAGAAACTAACAAAAGTCCCCTCAATTATTGGAGATATAATATACTTACTTACTTTTAAGTAGCTGATCCAGGTGTACTTTTTTACTTCCAAAATTTTGTATTCCTTTTAAGGTAAATAGTCGATATTACTACTGCTCTTAATGAAAGCATAAAGTTCCATTTAAAAGCGCACATAAACCGCTGGTGAAATTAAATTTCTTTTAAAATCTTGCATTGCATATTCACAGGACTTCATTGTGGGGAAGCGTTAACATTTCTGTGTATTTCTTTTTTTGTTTTTCTGACTTCATTCCTATATAAATGCAGCATATAAGAAGACTATCGAGGGCCTGACGGAGGAACGAAGAGTCTAGTTTAATGGCATACCAGAGCAGCCAATGGACACTCGGCAGATGTAGTACTTTCAGAACAAGTAGTAGCAATGCACTTGCCAATCACTCTCATAGAAGAAATATTTGAACAAAAAATATTCTAATATCATCAAGATAATACACGACTAAGGAGATGCAGAATAGCGAAAATTACATGCAAGATATACATTAAGGCCAGAAAGTTTCCGAGAATTGTCATTTAAACTGCCCACGCTGAATATTTTATGTTAATTACGATGCCAAAAATTAGCGAGATCTGTTAGCCAGTTTGTCCAGAGCAGCTGTTGAAATCAGTGTAACCCAGTTCGCTCAGCGAATTTTCTTTTACGGTTTCAAACGAGTCGAAACGGGCTCCACGGAGTGGTAATATGAGTTTTGGAAACAAAAAAAGTCACATGGGACCAAATCCGGGGAGTACGGTGGTTGATCGATGGCATTGAGCGAGTATTTGATATTAAAATCTCTTCCAACTACAGCTCGGTTCGATGGCGATCGTCATGAAAGTTTACGGAAATTGTTAGCTCAAAATTTTTACCATTTACGTCGGATGTTTTCACGCAAACGCCTCAACACGCACAAATAATACTCTTTATTGACCATTTGTCCAGTTGGAATGAATTCAACTGAAACCAAAAAGCGAATATTAAAAAAAAAACATATACCGGAAACATTCTGGTCTTAATGTGTGTATACATGACGCGAAGATTTAACTTCAGACTCCGGGCTGCTAGCGGGACTATTAACGAGGCACGGCCTGTTGGCATCTCCTGCCTTCCCCGATAGATCCGGTAGATGACAATAAATGCAGGAAATGTGTGGAGAAAATAGAGCATTTTATATGTGAGTATTGAGTGGTGGCTCATCTTCAATCAGCAATGCAAAAAAGGCCAAGTGCCTACATCAATTTGCTGAGCAATGTTCTTCAAACTGCGCACACAACACGAAGTGTAAGGTTACATGGTTCTGGTCATATACAGCCTTGGCCAAAAGTATTAGGCGCCCCACTAAAATACAAGTATTTTTAAAATGTGGCTATCAAAGCTACAACTTCTTTTTGTAAATGTCTTACATGGGTGTTTAACTGTTGATTAAACGCATTAATTGTGTAATATTAAAAGTCATAGCCCTCTGGGTAAGCTAAACCTAAGAATTGTCGTTTTTGAAAAATTCATAAAATATTTTCGCATTCAAAATTTGAAAGTGAAAGTGTAAATTACATTTAGTGAAAAGTTGGCAATCTTATAAAAACAGTTCATATTTACCGAAATGTCTAAAAAAAAAAAGTGACTACGACTAATATCATGCGTTGGCTTAGAGACAATCCCATTTAGCGCATATGGGCTATTTTAGAACGTAAGATTAAGGAACACAGTGTAACATCAAAAATTGCCTTAAAGAATGCCTGAAAGTGCCGAGTGGTACGCTATAAGTGCGGACGAATGTGTAAAGCTTGTACGCAGCATGCCTAAGAGAATTGCTGCAGTTGTTAAATCGAAGGGTGGACATACTAAGTATTAATGTTATTATCACTAATTCATTGTATTTTCACTGTTTTACTAATAAAACTTCATTACTTCACTTGTTAAAACAAAATTTCAGAAATTAGTGAGGTGCCTAATACTTTTGGTCATGGCTGTATAGTATTTCTGGTAATATCATGGACGTGATATCGCCTATTTGAGACTATTAGCAAGAGTAGTACGTATACAATATGGAAGCTCATGGTTTGGAATTTGGGTTACACCAACATAAATAATTATACAAGGGTTGGCTATACATTTCGGGATTTGTTAACTACAGTGCTGTAATCTGTCAACTTACAATTTTACTCAGAACGCTTTGACATTTTTGATGTTATACATACTCAGAACTTTTGGATATCCGAGCGCAGTTTGTGTTGCTTACAATAATAACTCGGCCAAAAAAGGCATTAAATTGCGAACATTTTCGAGAGATTATTTTATACAACTTTCGATTTGGATCAGCTAAGAACCGAAGCCTATATATTGTAACGAGCTCAAAAGTAAACAGCAGTCGACTACATGGGTGTTTAAAGATGCGCCGAATCCAACAAAAGTTGTTAGCACACGAAGCACATCCAAGTAAATGGTTGTCTCCTTTTTTTCAAAGACTGGACATGTGGCAACTTCGCTATTACAACAACGCAAAACAATGAGTTCTGAGTGGTACACGAATATTTGTTTGCCAGTTTCCTTTCCAGAAATCAGGCAAACTAACCACCGAAGACGGATGTCTCTTCACCATGACAATGCGAGCTCTCGCACATCAACTGAAACATTTGAGCATTTGAGCATTCAGAGCACCGATTTGATATGACATACACTGTTAAGTCCTGACTTGGTCCCGAATGGCTTCTTTTTATTCCCGTGCGTAAATGAAACGTTTTTCGACCCTTTGAGAGGAGGGTTGATGGGTTCAAAACGCATGTGTTGGAAATATCTCAATCAGAGTGACAGAAGTGCCTTAACCATTGGTTTAAACGCATCCAAGAGTGTATAAAACTAAATACAGAATATTTTCAGAAACCATAAAGGTATTTGCGGCTAAATTTTTTTCTCTTGTTTCCTACTTGCATATTTAATATGAACAATTTATGTTGAACTGTTATTTTGTAGTGCTAGTGCATTAAGAATTTAATATAAGATTTGATGTAACGAAATATGTTTCAATTTTGTTGTTGACCAGTGTATCGCACTCAATATATAGTTTTTATCCCAGGAGTACACAAGCCAAAAATGTATAGAAAATTGGGGTTACTGACAAAAGCTCCACTACGGCTTCTGCTTGAAATCAGTTAAGCTTGATTCCAGTTGTTGTTTTCCTCGTTTATTCCACATCATTAGACAACAATCAAGCACATTCGACATGTTTAATCAAAATACTTGTGGAATGATTTTTGCTACACAAAAGTAGTCAAGTGCTCTCAGTGATCGAATAGAAGATACATATATATATATAAAGGGTTTCCTTTCTTCACTTACGACTTTTAACTCTGTGTGCAACACTAAAAAAGTTTGCATTATAAAAATATTTTTATACTTACCACTATTTTCTTTTTTAAATTTTTTCTATTTTTTTCAAAATACACAACTCTGCAAAAAATCTACCAAAGCTACAAATGTCCTCAACATTCCATACTCAAAACCAAGTCTTATTTAACAATAAAACCAAGAAAAAAAGAATAAATAACAAATTAACTGACAATCACAAAGATTGCATACACGAAACAATACACAAAACAAAAAACAAAAAATGGCGACATTGACGTTTTGGACAAAAAATTATACCAAAAGTGTCCACAAGAATTATGTATGTCAATGCCTGTGCGTGTTTGATGTCATATATATGTATTTGTAAAGGCAAAGAAAGGCTGCCACTTTTTGCACGCACTCAAACAGGAGAGTTATAAAGTTGGATTAAGTGGCGTACACACATATATACATACAATACATATATGGTAAAATATTTTTGCTTCTCTTTTCTCTGTGTGATTTTACAAAATCATCTTCGTTTACAAATTTCAACATTTTACAACAAATATGATTAACAAAATTTATGTGCAACATGGCATTTGTAACAAAATAATACAATATTACAACAATATTTTATTTTTTAATTTGCTGTTTTTTTCGTTAAATATTTCATTTTTTAGAAAGGGTTAATTTTTTAATATTTATATATCTTGAGTTTGAGTTTTTTGTATTATAAAAAAAGATGTTCATGGTATTTTGGCAGTATTTACAGGCGAATGCACAATGCATGATTTTGTGTATTGAATTGCGCATTAATTTCATTGTATTATTTTCATATATATATATATATATATAAATATATATTAAATAAGTTTATTTAGTTCAGTTAAGGAATGTACAAGGAGGTCGAAGTACGATTAACGAAAAATGTTTTAAAATAAAAAAAATATGTAAGTGAAACTAAAAAATAATTATAACAAAAAAAAAAAAAACTCAGAAGATATAGGTAAATTAAATAAAATTAAGTATATACAAAAATTTCAATTAAAAACGAAATTAGAGCAAAAAAGGAGACCAAAAGTATCAGCGAATTTAAAAAAAAATTAGTTAATTAAAAAGAATAATAAGTAAATTAAAAACAAAACATTAAAAAATGGAAAAAACCATAAAAGGCAAAAAAGTATAAGTGAAATCAAAAATAAATTTAGAACAGAATAAAAAACTAATTCAAAAAAATATAAAAAAATTGAAGTAAAATTAAAAAGGGTATAAGTAAAACTAATGAAAAATTAAAGTATTAAAAAAAATTAATAAAAATTAAAAAACAAAATTAAAGTAAAATAAAACATTAAGTAAAATTAATAAAATGTAACTGAAATTAAAAATCATGTAATTAAAATAAAAATAAAAATAAGAAAAATTAATAAAATAAAATGTAAGGAAAATTAGAAAACGTAATCAAAATTAAACAAAAAAAAAATTAAATATAGTTTAACAAAAGAAGTAAATTAAAAAACGATATGAGTAAAAAAAGCTTAAAAACTAATAAACAAAATTAAAAATTATATGAAAAAAATTGAAAAAATATAAGTAAAATCAAAAAAATAAATGTAATTAATATTTAAAAAAATAAGTAAAATTAACAGTAGTAATAAAAAAATTAAGCAAGTAAAAAAATAAAAGTAAAACTAAAAAAATTAAGTAAAATTAAACTTTAAATCATATAAAAAAACCAAGCTCAAAAAATATACAATAATTGAAATTAATAAAATACATAAAAGTAACATTAAAAATAAAATTTGAACAGAAATTAGTAAAGTATTAAAGAAAAAAATGGGAAATGATACATAGAACATGAAATCAGAAATTAGAAAATAAGTTTAGAAAAAATCAACCCACTAGAAGTGAAGTAAAGTTCAAAATCCAAAAATCCGTGTCACTTAACGGTGGTGTGGATAAATTAAATAAAAGATTTTTTTTTTATTATTTTTTGTTACATCAGTGATTTATTTAGAATTGCAGTTTTCTTTTTGGTATTTTTATGGTTTTTTTTTGTGTGAGATGTAAAAGTAACGCTATTATTTAAATGTTACTTATAATTTTGCTTATTTGATGTTTTTTAGTTTTTTTGTTTTATTAATATTTGATGATTTCGATGAAATATGAGTTTTATACATTACGATTCCTACCGGCACGCTCAAACGCATTACTTCTGGTCAAATTCGAAATAAAAAAAAATATTATTCAAAGTCCTTTTGGAAATTTGTCCCCATTGTCCGTACAATCTGATCTTTGCATTTTCAGAATTTCTTACTTAAAGAAAAAAAGCAACATCACAGCTTTCAACGAATTGTTTGTAAAATAACGGTTTGTTTGGTATGAAATTTAATTAAAAATATATTAGTTTAGTTTCGTAGCACCTAAGTATTTTGAATGTTATTTTAAATAACAACCTTTTAATGCTATGCCCAGCTATAAATTGAATTTATATTACTAGTAAACCTTGCTAAGGGCGAGAGTTCTTGGAACGGCTATTTTTTTACTCCGGAGGCTATTTACTAATCCAAGATTTTAATGTTCAAAATTTTTCAAAAAATAAAAGATAAGTATATTTTATTAGAGAGACAAATTTAATGACAATAAAATTAGATTTAATAGTTCCCTAACAAATGCTCTTTGAGAGCTCAGTGACTATACTTATGAAGGCCAGTTCTCTGCTAACCGCGCTTTACTGTATTTATTTACGCCTGCTCATACTTATAAGCTAATCTACAATCGTTACTGTTATCCAATTAAGCGCCTGAGTTTTTCTTTGATATTTTAGTTAAAATTAATTTTTTTTTTAGTAAATGTAATGAACGATTCAACTTCTGGGCCGCAAAAGAAGTGCATGAAAATAGTATTATTTTTTTTGCAACTTGAAATAATAATTATTGAGTATATCTAATATTTTGCGTAAAACTTTTGCAAGAATTATAACAAAAATTTTTTATTCTGCAGCATATCGATCAACATCCGCATCTTCAATTGCAGCACAGAATTTTGTTAAATTTTTGTTGTTTTTGGTGATTTGTTAAACGATTAATAGTCATATGTATGCAACTCAGTGAGTTTTATTAAATAAAAACAATTTTTGGTTGTTATTTTCTGTGTTCTTTTTTTCGTTAACTTTAATGAAGCTTTTAAATCAGTTTTTTCTCTCTTCCTTCTTCATCGTAATTATGTAACTACAGTTAAAATAAGTAAGTTTCATGTTCAGTATTTTTATTATTTTTTTTGTTTATAATTAAAAGTAAACATATGTTTGCTATGACATTAAATACAATGAAACATTTAACGAATTTCCGCTCATTTGCTTTTGTTTCCAACTCATTCAATTACTCTGTGCGCTTACTTAGTGTTGTTGTTGTTTTTTTTTCTACTTCACTCAACTATAACTAACTATATATTGTGTAAGTCCACTAAATATAATATTGTTTTTATTTTTTTTACTTTCATTAAGAGATATGTGTATGTGTATGTATTAAACAGAAATGTTGTTGTAATGCCAAAAAATACATTGATTTTTTAAATAACATTAAAAGTTTAGCAGTATATATTGGCTTTTTTGTTGTATCTATTTCTCAAAAAGCAACTTTTTCTGTGCAGCTGTGTAGTTTTACTAGCCAAAATTTAGCTATTCAAATCTTTCGTGCTGCAAATACAAAAGTGAAAGAAAAACATATACATCGTTATGAAAATATTGGCACGCAAACAACTGTTGTTTTTCGGTAGGTGATTGCAGGACATGGAATTTCAGTTTATGTGCGTCGCCAATCAGTTGTATTTAGTTGTGGTAGTGGCGAGAAATCGTATAACACATAAAGAGTCTCACTCGACTTTTTTTTTTTTAGTTTTTAAATATAATTTTGTTTTTGTTTTTCCAATTTACATTTTACATTTTTCAAAAATTTTGCCAAATTTCCATACATATATCTCTAATAAAGTTTTTACTTTGCCAATTTTCGTTGAGTGAGCTAACTTTTTTGTTGTTGTCGTTTTTTTTTTCATTTTAAATGAATTTGAAAAAATTCTTCTCGGTATGGAGGAGTTGCTATTTCTGTGTTGTTATTTTTGCTTTTACTTCTTATTAGCTTTCCTTGATTCGTGTTTACAATATTTGCAATTAAATACATTACATAATTCGTTAAGTATAAAACTCACTTGGTATTTTTCGTTTCCGAGTTTTCTTTGTAAATATATCTATATATATGTATAGTTTTTTTTTTTTGGTTCGTTTTAATTAATTTTTCATTTTTCTTTTCATTTACTTCTTTAATATTGTTGTGTATTTTGTTGTTTTTATTTTAGTTTTTGTTTTTTTTTTTTGTTATTTTTAGTAGATAGTATTTATCATTGTTGTTGTTTGTGATTTTACATACTTAATATAATTTAGAATTCCTTACCCTTGTTGAGTTCTTGGAGGAGCTTATCTTCTGGCTCATATTCCAATGGCACCAAAGCATTGGGTGTGTATGGCTTGTCCTTCAAGTAGAGACCATAACGAGATGGGTATCTAAGGTTGGCAATGGTAAAAGAGAAATATTATAAACAATTAATTGCATTATAGTCATAAGGTTCTTATAAATTATCATATAATTATTTCTAAGCCTCATTACCCGGGAGAATGTTTTCTTAGACATGGAATTTTCAAGCAAAAATTAAACACTCATCACATAATAATAATATTATGGCAAAGAATTTAGATTTCTTTTAAAGATAAGAGTTTACGATAATGTTCTTAATTTGATTTCGGACAAGTGACCACCGCGACTGGCTCAAATAAACTGCAGCCGACTCAGACTCAAAATTCTCTGCGCGCATAAGTTAGCCAGTCCGAAGCAGTTGACCAACTTTGATATTTGGCAAATATGATTCGCAGCGCGATTTTGAAATCTTTGTGGTTGTCTCTTTGTTTGTACACTTTTTATTTCTATTTTAAATATCTTCATACTAACCTGCGTTCGATTTCTTGCATGCGCTTCAAATGATCATTCCAAGCACGCTCTGCATCGTAGTTGGCTGGAACTAGTATTGGAAAAAAGAGAGTAAAAATATTAATAAACAAAAATAAACATTTATAAACTTTTCGTAAATGAATTTAAATAAAGCTTACAGTGAAAATGTGAAAGCAATTAGGCTCAAAAGCTTTCAAGCAAGCAAAGCTCCAAGGCAATACATACGATATTTCGATATAGAAAGCGGCAAAGCATATGTGTAGGGGCAATAAGCAATAGTCAGGTGTAAAGCGTGGAAAAAAGATAGTGAAAAATAGATAATTAATAATATTGTCGAAGAAATAAAGAAAATCATGAGCCTAAGTTAAATGTAATAAAAGTGATAAAATAGAAATTAATGAATGTGGTGATTTTTTAGACGTGTGGTTTTCGGTGAGGCAATACTTTTTCGGAGCTGGACTTTCTGTCAACTGTTGACTGATTCATATACAGTTTGGTTTGCCATTTCATACTGTACGAAATTACTTCGGAACACTATTTGAAAACTTTAAGAATTTATTACAAAAATAATGGTTCGCGCTGCGTCCACGCTTCGGTCGACATAATCGTCCAGTAGAGTTAGTAATTCGATCGACCATTTTTCAATTTTATACCAAATTTACTCTAGTAGATAAAGCGCACCTTCAGAGATGCTACACAATGCGCTGCTGCAGTGGTGCAGAGTATCACAGAAGACCCGAATGAGTACACATGCCAGGCCCATCCATTTTATGGAAGATTTTGAGTAAGCTACTTGGTTTGCGTGCTTACAAAATTCAGCTCATTCAAGAATCAAAGCTGAACGACCGTCAAACGTGTCGCACGTTTAATGGATAGGTCTAAAACGAGTTGGCCATCGTAGCCGATTTACACAAGAAAATTTTGTTCATCGATTAGGCTCACCTTTGGTTGAATGGATGCGATAGCAAACAAAATAGTCATACTTGGAGTGATGAAAGTCCGAAAGCCTCGCTGAGACTGTTTGGTGTGCTCTTTAGGTAGAGTGAATAATTGGTTCATATTTCTTCAAAAATAAAGCCGGTCATTATATAACACTCAATGGGAAACGCTATAAAGTCATGATTAATAAATTTTACGTCCCTGAATCGGATGTGGATGACCTTTGCTTAACAGAAGGCGGCTCCACAAGCCACACACAAATGAAACAATTAATTTCTGGAAGGAAACTTTTGGTGAGCGATTATATCGCTCCGTGGGCCTCAAAGATCGTGCGATTTAACATCGCTGGGCTATTTTTTGTGAGGTTATGTGAAATCGCTTGTCTACGCAGATAAGCCCGCGTCGATTGATGCCTTGATATGCGGCCCCGATTGCTGCAAAAAATGGTCAAAAATTGTGCTCCTCGGTTACAGTATATTCGATCGAGCCGCAGCGGTCATTTGTAAGCCTTTATCTTTATAAAATTTCAAAACTAAATTCGCGACCATAACATTAAATTAAAAGCGTTTTATTCTGCCTTAAAACCACATGTCTTAAAAAGCACCCTTTTGGAAATAAATAAAAAAAACACTTTTGATAATAAAGGGATGAGAACGAGATGGTTGTGCAAACAAGAGTGATAAATGCAATGGTAATGAATGCATGAATATATGAATATGCATACGCAATATGTAATTACAAATAGTCTTTTCGTAACGCATATACATATATATTTTTATATGTACATATATAGGAAACTATGTCAATTGCAACTAAATTCGAATCAACTAAATACTGCATAAATCACTCTTATTTATTATTTAAGAATATTAATTACAAAAAAATGCATTTCGTACTCCATATTTAATATCTTTTTGAAATTAATTTATTTTAAATTTATTTTTAAAGAAAATTTTCAAATGAAGTACCTGTTAATAAATAGCTGAGTTGCAAGCCGCTAAGCTGTTGTAACCAGCAGTGGATGGTTGAATCTAAAATCTATTTGTACCTAAGCGTGTTTGAGCTAGTCTATACAAATTATTTAATTTTCTATTTTTTTTTTTTAATTTCAGTTTCAAATTTCATTTAAAGCAGTAAAACTAACTAACCAACTTTGCATTTTAACACTTTATTTAAGAAGAACAATAACACAATGAACTATTCTATTAAACATTGAAATGGAACAAACTAACAAGTTGCATAATTTCGAAAAATTGTTTATTTAAATTTTCGAATACATATAATATGTTTACATAGAAAAACAGCGGCTTTCAACATACATACACAAATATTTGAGCTGCATTGTTTTAATTATTATTAATATATTTTATTACTAAACAATTTTTTTCTTTTTTTTTTGCATATTTTTTAATGATCATTTAGATTAGTTCACATTTACTGAGACTATTACTTTTCAACAACATTTAAACGCGCTCTGAGTGTGTGTTTTTGTTATGTTTATGTATGTTTATGAAAAGTAAAGAGAAAGAAGAAATACATATTTCATTACTTTTACATTAAATTTAATGAGGTGCGATTGCTTCAGGAATGGACATAATATTTGAAGGAAGGAAATTAAAATTGAAATAAGCAAAATTGTTTACCAAAAAGTTAAAAAAAAAAAAAACGATTTCAGGATTTTAGAATAATTGAAAATAGTAAATAATTGAAAATAATGAATAATTCATAGTTGTCCATTTTTATTTGTATGTTTTATAATTTCGTGATAGCAGCAGATAATGACAACAAATCATATAATATTTGTAATTTTAGTGCAAATAAAATCAATATACAAAATTCCGTTTATTCCTTCAGTCATGTTTTTCCAAAAAAAGAAATTAAGCGGTCTACTGTCTAAATCGTCTCTGAACTGCTAATGGCTTTTTATGAACAGCTTTTTATTTCAAGTCAGAAATACACTCGCCGAGTATGAGATTTCCGGCCGCAGGGCAACCGCAAAAAGAAAAATATTTTTTTTTCTATAATTTTGAACATTGGTCGAGCTAGAATTGGAACTCATGATCATTCGCATGATAATACGCAGTGCTAACCACGCGGCTATTGCTGCTCTTCATTACTCAGTCGTCAGTCGTCAGTCTGTCAGTCTGTCAGTCTGTTCTTCTTAAATTTAAAGACAACTATGTGGATATCCATGCAATTTTCAGCAATATTTTTGAGACAGGTTTATATGTACGCTTTGCCTGCATTAAATTTATTTATATTTGCTATAATTCTACGCTTATTAAGTGAAAGTGTTCATATATAGATTATTCAACCGACGTAACTCTAAAAGTACTCCACTGATTTTTATAATTAACAAATTATTAGCGACTGGTGCTTAAAAATTTTCCATTTTACGGCATTAAACCCGCTTTACTTTGGCTTAAAGTAATTGATAAATATACAAAAATAAATGCAACACTAGACCTTTTCATATGCGGCGCGCGGCCCATGACTCTCCGCTAGGCAGCAAGCACTGCTAGCTTTATATATATATGATATATTTCTGTTTTGAAATTATTATTTTTTTTTTTAATACAAATCTCAGCGGTTGAATAATACAGTGTTTATGCAAATTACTTAACAAACGTTTTATTATGGGTCAAAATAGATCGTTTCGCAAAATTGACGTAATTTGTTGTTGAACTATATTTAGAATGAAAAAAAAATATTTTTTTTTTTAAATATGAAAACGCCACAAAAACACATCAAAACATTTTGGCACGATTTACTAAATGTATATATATATTTATTTATTATTAAACATATTTTATTTTTATTTTTTTTTATTTTAAAAAGTACCTGGTAAATTCCTTTAGGTGATTTTATTTATAAATAATTTTTTTTCTAGTAATGACAATTCAAACGAGAATAATTTTTGCCAATTCACATTTGAGGTGCGCAAATATTTTTCGGGTGAATAATACAAGTATGCGGCTATGTAAATGCTACGAGTATGAATATTTTATGCATGTCCCGTGCAATGAATTGTTGACAAAGACGGTATGAAATATAATACGATGGCAATAAACAGAAAATGCTTTTTTCTTAATTTATGCCTTTTAAAAAATGATATAATAATGCTATAATATTAATAACAAAATGTAACGAATTTAATTTGTTTGATGTAGGCATTAAAATAAAATAAAAATTATAATTTTTATAAATATAATATATTTTTTTTTATATAATAGCATAGCATCCAATGCAATGCAATGCTAATATTAGTTCAGAAAGCTCAATTGCTTGCTTATGGATGTGCAACTAATTCGATAAATTTTCTATATTAACGTAATTAACGATTTTGTTAAAAAAATTCAAAGAAAATCTTGAAACTTCACGTAACTGAAATCTTAAAATTTAAAAATTGAGGGAAGAAACCTAAAAAATAGTTTATATCGATATCTTATCGATATGTTATCGATAAATTATCAAATATCAAAAACCAATCAAATTTCCAATCGAAAATTCCTGTTTTATTTATATTTTCTTTATTTTTAGTTTTAATTAAAAATTTCAATTAATATTCTAAACTTTATTAAAAGATGAAGGAAGTCTAAATAATAGTTAATTTAAAAAAAAATAATTGGTATCGATAATCCAAGTTGATATGTATTTGTCAAAGCGAAATGAATACCACATTTAAAAAAACTTATATTTTTTACTACAATAAAATTTTTATCTTTTTTAATACGAAATTTAATTTAAATTCAATAAAAAATAATTTAAACATTTTTTCTATTACGTTTTTTTATTTAAATTTCTTCCTATAACCATCATTAGATTTTTTTTTTTTTTTTGATTGACTTTACAAGAGATTACGATTACTCAAAATATACTGCATCAAACGATTTTGTTTACATTAATTTCTATTTAAATTGTAATCTATAAAAAGCACATCCCTATTTACTAATTTGCTGCACTAACCGCATAATGACATTTTATATATAATATATGTATATATGTATGTATTTTGCACGAAAATATTTTTAATATTACACATTAAAAAGGCACACACAAACACTTACTTGTTCTGCTGTAATGATGATCGTAGATGGCACGTGGCGAGTAGCCATAGGTGTCTCTGCTCACTGGCAAGTATCTGTAGCCGTGCGATTGTACGCGCTCATTGGCAGTAGCTGGCTCATCGAAGATGCTCCTGTATGTGGCTGGCGAGTCCAAGTACGAGCTGTATGGACGGCTGGCGCGTGGTGTCTCATGAGCACGGATATCTTCGGATCCTGAGAAGGAAAAAGTAAAATAAAAATAATAAAATAAATATATATATATATGTATATATTTATATTATGTATTAAATACATTACAAAGAAGAATAAGGAAGACTACGTTACGCGTGGAACTGTAGATTATTAGATAATCGGCTTATATTTATATATACATACATATATGTGTTAACACATTCTTAAAAGTACAAGGCAATTCCAGGCTCGTACTAGACTCATACGTCCTTAATTGGTCATTTTGTTACAAAATTCGTACTATTCAAAAATTACTGTTATATGGGAGGTGGACGTGAACTTTGTTCGATGTGAAAAAATTTCAACAAAATATCTCAACCCTTACTTGAGCTATGGTATGCACGGACAGACAAACATGGCACTTCTCATCATTGCATGAAGTTTGTTATAAACTCAATGTTATATACATAGCGGGTATTTTTTTTAGACATATAGTTTCGGAGTTGGTCTGTTTGATCTGTTACTTGGTTCATACTAATTTTCTTTGTTTATTTTTTAATGGACACACTTGCCGGGGAAAGAGGTTTACAAAGCAGGAAACATACCAAAATAATTATTTGGCTCGCGCTACACATCACTTCACGGCCATGGATCAGCGAGCACCACGTCTACTGCAGTGTATCATACGCGTCCTCAGAGATGGCGTATAGTGCGCTCCAAAGAAGCTACTGCTGCTGCGAAGCAGAGTATCCAAGAAAACCCGAATGTGCCGCGTACAACAATAGGAGCCGCGTTCAATTGCGAACAGAAAGATCTCAGTTGAAGGCTTACATATCATAATTCAACTCGTGCCAGAATCGACTACGCCTTTAAAGATAATACTGCACTAATTGCTACAAAGAGTAGTCGAAAATCAGACCTCTGGACTGGAATTTATGCGAGCAGTTACTTGCCCAAAATCATTTTTAGAACATTACAATAAACCTTTTTCTTTACTGTAACGTTAAATTTTAAGCGTTCACCTGCTTCTTGAAAACAACATCTCTAAAATAAAACACCCTATATATATATATATATATATACATAGCGACGCATAAACCCCAACACCAGGTCAAGATCAATTTATTTATCTGACAAAATTAGAGCTGGAGGCTTTTCTCTTACTCCTACTTTTTTTATTTACAGAAAAGTAGTCTTTGGCCTTTGAAAATGCATGCGACTTCAAGGCATGAACAAAAAAAGTAAAAACAACAAAAATAAAGAAGCAATGAGAGACCCATTTCTCCTTCTTATTTTTCTACTTCTCCTTCGAAAAACTGTTAAACTCACACAAGACATGCAACGAAAGTGCATTTTGCAAAGAGGCAAGTTTGTATGTATTTTACGTATATAAATATAATTACACATGTACATATGTATATATGCCCGTGTACTTATAGATGCCAAAATCACATAGGTATAGCATAGATGCACTTGGGTAGGCCATTTTTCAGTGTTCCTTAGCAAACTCAAATTGCAACGTGCTTGTTTCTCTTTTGCTTTCTTTTTTTGTGTTTTTCCACAAGAATTGACTCACGAAAAATAAAAAAATAAATCAGTTCAAGTATTAAATTAAACAGCTGAAATATTTTTGGTCTAACGGTTTATCCAGCGCATAGATCAGAATTCCACCAAAGCACTATGTTGCTGAGGCAAATATAAGTATACACGTGTATGTGTAAGTGATTACCCGTATATCTATATTTTTTAAATTATTTCTGCCATATTTTTTCTACTCTCTCTCCCCCTCTCTCTCTCTCTCTCTCTCTGTCTCTGTTTATACGCTATTTTTTTAGTCAGATTTTTGGCCATTAGCCAATTTTCACTGCGAAAACACATAAATCGCAACGCATAGCGACGCATAAATGTTAGTTTTTGTGTGCTTTCAAAAGATTTTTCTCAAAATTTACGTATTGCGCTATACAGTTTTTTGTTACGCTTGTTTTTAATGAAATTGAAAAAAATAAATTAAATTAAATAAAATAATAATATTGTTTTATGACTTTGCCTATTGGATCAAGTACATACATATGTACATACGTGTATGTATGTACAACATATGCATACGTTTCAATACGAAAATAATCGGTGTGTTGGCTAGCGGCCTGCCTCTGACTGGGTTGATTTGTCGTTTCGAAAATAGCACAGATTCGTTGCTTCTAGTCTAAATAGCAACAGCATTATACCACATATGTGTGTGAGTGTGTGAGTGTCTGCATAAGCAGGGAAAATTTTTATTGTACGCATAAAAAATATTTAGTGTTTCGACAAACATTCCGATCGCTTCGATTTATATGAGCCGCATAGACGAAATGTGTGGGCATACATACATACATGTTTAATGTTATATATCAAATTATGTAGAAAGTATATACATACATATGTATTGTATATTAAAAATAATTCAAATATAGTGAATTTTAAAAATATAGCACATGCGCTTGTGAAAGAGAGCGAAATAAAATACCATTTGATCGTGACACAAAATATAAATATATATATATTTTTTTTTTTAATATATTTTAAACTTTGTGGAGTGTGCACCTTGAAAATTATCTGCTGCTTTGCTATATCGAAAATTATGTAAGTATTTTTAATTTATTTGTTTTTTATTTTATGCAACAGAAACGTAAAAAATTTATTAAAATGAGAATAATATCTATTATATATATACATTTTATATATACATATGCATATGTATATATATTGTAATTTGCAAACATAACTTTTTATTGTTTTTTTTTTGTAATTTTCAAAAATAATTTTTTTATTTTTATTTTGGATTTTAAAAAATAAATGTTTTTAATTTTTTTTAATTTTTATTTTTTTTTATTGATATAAATTTTTTTTTTATTTAAATATAATTTTTTGTATCTCTTTTTTTTTGTAATTTTTAAATATAAGTTTCTATTTTTTTTAATTCTCTTTTGTAAGTGTTAACTATCATTTCTGTATTTTTTTTCTCATATCAAAATAATATTTTAAAAATTCAATAGTCAGATCCATTCAATTTATTTGTTTTAACAAAATGTTTATATAGTTGAAATAATAAAAAAAAAATATTTATAAAAGACAGAAGTGTGAAATCACCGATGAAGCGGTTTTAATTTACGGTGTGGGTCTTAAGATTTTTCCAACAAATGGAGGAAACTACAGGCCTTCGGAGGGCTAATGTCTTCTATGAGGAGCTTTAATTTTCATACCTACCTCACTATCTCAAATATAAAAATTAACTTAAGTTTTTATTTAAATTTGTTCTCCATGATTCTCGGACCAGGACTCAAACTCTGGGCTTCTGAATGATAGTACGCACTGCCAACCCCTCGGCTTTCGCGGTCACCACTCATCATACGCGTGTACTTGAAAATAACTGATTGGTTATATGAAATTAAGAAAAACAAGTTCCCACATTATGCTGCGGACTAATTTTAATCAAAAAAAAAAAAAAGAATTCACTAATTACCAATTAATGACTTAAAATGTTAAAGTAATTTTTTAAATATCTTTCTTGTTTTTGTTGACTTTTAACGATTTGTAGACTATTAAATACAAAAATAATTTATTACTCGCGAGGCATTTTTTCTTTCAAAGATATACCCAAATTACTTTTCTCCCTCTTTATTTTTACCTATTTTCGCATAATCACATAAATTCCCATAAATTGAATACTCACCCTTCAAGGATCTGATGTAGGATTGCCAGAATTTCGCCTTCTTGCTGGGGGTCTCATTGCGACCAATCATTTCCAAATGGCTTTTAAACATTTTGATCGATTTGTTCTGTTGCTTGTTTCGAAACAAGAAAGCTAATTTATTTTTGCTTTTTTTTTACTGAGGTTCGATGTCCAATATCTCGTTCGCTGCAAGTAGAAATAAAGGTGTTTTAAAATCATACACCAAAAAGTAATGCAAATATTTTTTTAAATCAATATATGGTCATAATATCGTATTTCTCCGTTAAAATTTTAATAAATTCAATATTTAATAATTTTAAAATCTTTTTCATTCAAACACTTGCAAATTGGACACTCTTTTCTTTTTCATATACCACCAATGCTGTGATGTCTACAACGTTGTTTTTGTGATTTAATAAGTCTTAAATGAATTTTTAGAGTATTTACTTTTATGCTTCAATGTCTTCTTTCTTTTAGTTTTATTTTATTTTTATTTTATTTTTATATATATTTCATACTTTTTTCTAATTCTGCTCCAGATTTTTTCGTTTAGCTGAAAAAAGTCCGCAGAATGTATTGACGTTCGCAAAGACGACAAGATCACCGAACACTAAAAATATATTTTCACGTTTAATGAAAAAATGTTCACACTTTTCAGAAATATTTCATTTGCATCCGCACACAAACATATGTACATAAATGCCTTCGTAGCAGAACTATCGATGTACATACACACACACACACTTGTGGATATCTATGTATATATAAGTATATATGAGCGGTCAAATAAAAATCGTATACGTATATATGTGCTTGTTTATGTATGTATGTATGTATATTTGTATACAATGCCAAGAATGAGCAAGCGCGAGCACGAAAGTAAAGGAAATTTATTACGCAGACTTCGTGAGTTAACCAACGAACGAGCAAAGGTGGGCGAGCAACGCAAAGCAAAAGCAAAAAACTAAAAGTCAAAAAAAACAAAACGCACCAACAACAGCAGCAACAAAGTTGTGCCAATATGCTTAGCTCGCGGAAAACATATTTTTTCATTTGCTGAGGAATGAAGGTGTTGGTTAGAATGCTATTGCTGATCGGCTGATCACAACGCAGCCAGCGTTTTTGCTGTTGCTGTGTTGGTGTTGGCAGAGGAAGCTCATGAACAGTGAGCTTCGGCATTATTGGAGAGCAGGGGCAGACTAACGTCAGTACATATATCGGCAGCTGAATTTCATGGTTATTTTTAAATGTCCTTGAGTTGAATATTTTCACAGTGCGCCAGTGTATGGAGGGTTGAGTTGAGTTGGGCCAAAAAAAAAAAAAAGAGATGTATTCTATAAAGTACATGCCCTCCGTGTAGTATGTACTGTGTGCAGGATTTATTTATAAATGCATATATGTGTGTATGTATTGCTCGCTTTTACTTGTGGCGGCTGCTCTGACCACTTGCTGAGGTCAATTTCTAGTACACGATCACACCACAATAACTCTGTGTAGCATTTTTTTAATTTCTTTTATTTTTTATATCAACATTTTTTTCGTTTGCTTGTTTCCTTGTTTTGCGCACGAATTAATTTGCCACTTCGTTTGTGGATTTTGTTGCCGAAAGCTTTAGGTTTAATTTTTTTGTTTTTTGTTTTTCTTTTTTTTTTTTTGTTTCGACTGATCATGCCATTTTTGGCACGGATACAAAAATTTTGAGTGTTTCATATTTTCGCTGATTTTTTTTCCGACGCTCATATCAGAACTTTCCGCTCCAAAGTATTAGGTGTATTTATAAATCGAGTTATTGTATAATAAGGTTTTATAAAAATAAAAATTAAAAATGTAATATTATTATTGGTGTCAAGCATTTAGTTATGCCACTTTAACGCAGTTATGCTAAATAATAAAAATTGCTTTTATTTACAAAAAGAAAAGGAAATGCTGTGTCTCTTAAATACCAGTTTAATTAATATTATTTCTTTCCAAAATTTTTTATTACTATTTTTGCTCAATTTTTGTTCACTTTTTCAACATTTTAAAAATTTACAAACTCGCATGATATTAAATTTTTCAAGCTATATTATTATTATTTTATATTTATATTTTTGTTTTAAATATTTTAAATTTGTGCAATAATAAGTTCATTTTCGCTAGAAACACCATTTTCACTTTTTAAGAATTTAATTTTTTTCAGCTTTCAGTCTCGTTTTTAAAACAATCAATTTAATTTTATTTCATATTATTTGGAAGCAAATTCTTACGTTTTTACTCCTACTAAAAAAATAGCGATCTATCCTCAACGAAGAATTTTTTCAAACTGTTCGATGTTGAAAATCGGTTTCATAAATTTCATTCGCTTTATCAACGCAAATTTCTTTTATTCTTAAGTATTCCAACTCGCCGATATGTAAGCATAGTGTCTTGTGCCAATACATGTATGAAAAGTGCATGTGTATATGTATGGGTATGAGTGTGTGTGCTTGTGTGTGTATGTGTATGTGTGTGTGTGTGTGTGTGTGTAAGTGTGGCAGAAAGCTCACTTGCCCAAATGCTTTCGAATAATCCATTCTCACACACTGAATTCGAAGACCAAATATCTGTGCAATACATACAAGCAGGTAAAGTATATACATACTAGGGTCCTCATATACAACCACATATCCTCCCACGAGTAAATATAGTACATACATATGTATTTGTTATGTATTATGTACACTTGCCACCGGCATTTGGCTAATACTCAAAGTATTTTTTATTTTATATTTTTTTTTTTTCATCTTAAAAATTTCTTTCATTTACTATTTGAAAAAAGCCTTGGAACGTCTTAGAAATGATCTCCCCGGACATTTCATGTGTTGATCACAGTTAATCGCCAATTATATGTGTATATACACACATACATACATAAGCGCTTGCCTATACCATTTGCTCTCTCACCCACACAAGTTCGCTGATATTCATGGGCATTTCGGTTTGTTGCCAATATTTTGACCACAATTATGACAGCGTAAGCGTTTTTAACGATTTGCAATTCAATTTAAAGCCCATACAGCTGCCTTCAACCTTTTCACCAAGAAATTTAGCGAAATTGCCTTTTGCATGCATCATATATACTGGGCAGATGCTAATATGTATTTTAATTATTTTCCTGAGGTCTTTGCTCTCCTTAATTTCTTTTTCAATTTAATATTTCAAATAAATTACAATGTTGCATTTTAAAATGTCCCATTTACTGCCAAATAAATCAGGATACCATTAACAGCATNTATATATATATATATATATATATATATATATATATATATGTACATAACTACGTCAAATCTGATTTTGAACGCTAATATGACCTCTCCGCTTGTTGGTCACTCTGTCATTAACTCACTTATTTATTTATTTACCCACCTGCTGACCATTGCCGTCTCATTTTATATAGGATTCCAACAGTACACTGGCATAACAGTCAGTCGGTGGTTCATGCAAACAGTTGTCTACAGTACTATTTACTAACCACATATGCATAAATTTAAAAATAATGATTTATATATAAAAATATATATAATAAAATAAAATGTATATAGATACATAATATGACTGATTATGAGATCATCCTTGTCTGTTGGATATTTTAGTTTACATTTTAAAAAAAAAAATCATATTTGTTTGTAAACAGAAAAACTTTTCCCCATCATTCATTGACATTTTGTTTAGTTCGTTCAGTTGTTCTGTTGAGCCAATTTAGTACACAATTGGATATACATTATAGTCATTAATTTAAACAATTTTAATATAACATTATCATGCACAGGAGAGGGAATTTTTTCAAGCATCTACGTCTGTTCTGTTATAATGCTTTACAGAATTTCATTTCCGCAGTATTTTGAGAAAGAAAGTTTTGGTGTAAAAATTTTTTTGAAATTTACTGAAATTTTTTGTAGCAATATTCAGGCATATGTGTATAAAATTTGACGCCAGTTTGACATACATACATTGCGAATGCTATATCGCTTACCATTTATTGAAAGGACTCTATGACGTTTTGAGAGAATTGTTGCGATAAGAAAAATAATAATTTTTTTTTTATATATATATTTTTTGAACGCAAAAATAGTGTTAAAAAAACAATTCTTATTTTTGATCAGAAACCAATCTTTATCTCTCAAAAAAATAAAACTCATTTACGAAGTTTGGAGTTTTGAAGAACAATTAATTAAACTAAATTTAAAAAATTGTTTAATTTATTCAAAAAACTTACTAATCAAAATTATTACTATTTCTGATCAGAAAAATAACAAGTTTTCTGATAATCACCACATTTAAGCGAAAAGATGGTATTATTTTGCAATTTCGGGGTCGTATGTCAGCAATGGCGCCGAATAATCTGTTCCAAGGCATTTACCGTCTCGATCTTATCTGCATAGGCAAGCGATTTCACATAACCCCACAAAAGATATCCCAGCGGTATTGAATCGTACTATTTTCAAAGCCACGCCACAGACCTACAACGCAAAATAATGCGGCCAACAAAACTCTGCTTCAATAAATTTTTTATTTCATTGGCTCTATGGCATGTTGCGCCGTCTTGCTGGAACCAAAGGTTGTACCTATCAATATGCTACAACTCAGGCACGAAATGCACTCATTAATTAAGGCTTTATAGTGTTTCCCAGTGATTGCAACATTTCAGTTGGCTCCATTAAAAAATTATAGAACATTGACTGCCTTCACCCATAGAGCACAACAATGAATAAAGTAAAGATTTCATTTAATTGTTCATAACTGATTTCTAAGCGATAATTCAAAATGTAAATTACTTGTTAAATTTGAGCTTTACAGATATTTGTCCAACAGTCAATATTGAAATAGTTGTTTTCCCTGATTAACACTAAACGGTTTGCCTTGGCGTATGAGTAACATTTTATATTCATTAGTCTCTTCAAATTGACTTCCAAACTAATGGGAGTTTTATGAAAATAATTGAAAATTATTTAAAATAGTTATGGTTGATGATTTAAATAGCTGTAATACAAGATGTATCAAAGCACGAGCCTTAACAAACACAAAGAAGGATCGACGTCTTCATCTGTGGGGGGAGGGGTTAAAGAATTTTCGCGCCGTAAGCCATGACGACTAAAATCCAAGAGTTCGGGTCTTTCTACCGAAACGATGAGGATTTCCAAAGCTTTCGAGAATATTTTTGCTGTTAAAACAAAAGCAACAACAACAAGGTTCGACGTTGAAAAGCTGTAATGACAACAGAGAGCCGAACGGTTTTGAACGGTGGCTCTTTATAGTTTGATTTCGTAAGTTTGATGTTAAAGAAGATGAGTTGTCATGAGTTTTACTTTCTCTACACTTTGTAAGGAAGCAAAGCGTATGGGTCTGGCAGTGAACAAGTTCAAGACGTATAGTAAAGTCCTACCACATTGTGTAGAAGCCTTTGAGATAAAAGTTTTGCGATTGATTTATGGTTCTTTGCGCATTGGCTGCAACGAATATCGCAGACGATGGAACGATAAACTGGGAAAGTAATCCGATGACATTAACATAGTTCCGGCAAAAAGAGACAGCGACAACGGTGGCTAGGCCATTTAATTCGACTGAATGGAAGCGCTGTAGTTTTGAAAATAATCGATGTCCTACCCGCTGAACCGTTGAAGAAGAGAAAGGGTAAGACATCCAGTCCGTTAGAGGGATTAGGTTGAGAATAGCCTGGTTTCACATTGGATTTCCAACTGGCTCCAAGTAACGTTAAGAGGGAAAGAATGGCGCGCTTTTTGTTTATACGGCTGTAAACTCGAAGGCGTATGCCAATAACTGAAAAGGTTACTAAACGTTTTATATATGTAATAATATTTTCAGCGAGAACCAAACTCACGGGTACTGAATCGATTTGTAATATGTTGGGTTTTCTACAAATGATGGCACTTGCTGCATAAAGCTACTTCGGAAAGTAATCCGATGGATTTTTTCTATTGCGAAAATCCGTCGTATTGAGAAAAAAATTTGTTAAAAAACAAAAAATGTGTATCTCTACAGTATTGCAGAATAACAATTGCATAAACAGTTTGTGTTTTGTATAGTACAAATATGAAAAACCTCCCTTAAGTATTGGTTAAGTCAAATCTAATCTTAGATACTAACAAATTTATTTACTTACTTTTCCCTACTCAACGATTTATATTAAAATATATATATTTTCTTTTTCAAATTTCGAAGAATTATATCACTTTAATTAACAAACAAAGAACCTTTAAATAACACCATAAACCTTTTCCCTCATATTTGCGCCGTAAAGTACACGCACACATGCAACGAATAGTGAAATTTGCTACATTTGTCTGATGAAGCCGGTCAGCTGCTGCCGTTCAATCAAAATACAATAAAAGTAAAAGTCAACAAATTCTTGGCAAATCAGCAAATAGTGCAAAAAACTGCTCGAACTTTACATACATTTTACCAATAATAAAAAAAGTAGAAGAAAAAACACAACTTTTCACTTTTTAGAAAGTTCATTTCAATCTGCACAGTGAAAGTTTGTTTGGCTTTGCAATTGTGGCAAATAAAAAACACCAAAACACGGCACTAACATATGCACATGCATATATATATATATATATATATATATAAACGTATTATATGTTTTTCTTAGATTACCTCAGAAGTGTACAACGGAATTGGCATACTACGGTTGCCAGGTATTTCCCAAAAGAATCAGCTTTTATCACAACTTGCCAAAGTTCCTTCACTTCCTCAACTGTTCTCTTTAATTTTTTACTTCTTATAAAGGGTGTTTTTTCAGACTTGATTCACACTCGACTTCATTTGCGTTTTCATAATGAACATTCGGTTCGTGTAATATTCAGTAGACCTAATCGCCCAACAGAGTAGGCAGTCGGGCAGAGTGGATCGGTTACGCAGCAAGTTTGCGCCAGTGTATAAAACGCATTACCAGAGACACCATGAAGTTAGCACCAAACACGATGATGCTGTCTTGGAGCAGAGTATCAAAGAAAATACATATGAAATCACTAATCACTGCTCATCGCGCGCAAAGTTTTTTCTGAAAGACCTTGATTTGCGGTTTTCGAAATCCACTTCGTGTAGTAATTAAAGCCGAACGAATAACATGCTCGGCACGCATATTGGGTGAATGCCCACAAAGCTCGTTTTTCACAAGTAAAATTCGTTCAATTTTGGTTGAAAGGGTGCATTGATAATCGAAATTGTCGCATTTGTAATGATGATAATCCAACAGTCACTATGGAGACACCGTTAAAGTCTCGAAAAGTCATTGTTTGTTGTGTTTTGCGAAGAGGGGGAATCACTGTTCCAAATTTCCTCAAAAATCTGGCCTTTGGAGCTATGATTAATGA